GTGTTGTTCAGCATGGGGGTGAGTAGAAAATGAAGGCTAATCATGTTTTGGGTGTACTATTCCTTTAATGATGTTCATCATTATACAAGCAAAACAGCAACTCCAGAGTTTCACAGAAGTTTGATCTGTCTAGTGACAAGCTGAAATGACACCAGTGTAGTGCGATCAAATTTGAAATGAGGAACAGCATTGCAGTCAGCCCTGGTCTGCAACGGTCTTTTGCTTAGAGGGGTCACTACAAACACCCCCCCCGAAAATATGAATCACTCTCTCTAATGGCAAAGCCTAAAGAGGCAACTGTGATAAATAGTAGGGACCGTTTTAAAAAAAAAACAAATAACAATATGTAGCCTTTAAACGTGTGCAATGCTCCTTTTAAAGGTGGGTAAGATGCACAAAACAAAAAAATGTTCTTTCGTAACAAAAATCTAAATTTGATGATAATGATGCCTTATGGCAAAGAGAATCACAGCAATCAATCAGGGCAGGGCTGGTGCCTGCCTCTGGCAGATCCAATCAAACACTAGCCGATGGGAAAATAAATCAATTTTTAGCATATTTACTTTAACTTCAAATTCCTCTTAGCTTTCAAAGCTGTGTGTTAGAAAAAAACACTTATTAAAAAAATTAAACATGCATTCTACCTGCACTGCAATTTCCTAAGTAATTATAAAAAAAATGTCAAGGTGAACATTTCCAAAGCCAGGAAATAGTTTATGTACATATAACAGACTCATAATGCTACTCGATGGCAGCAGAATTTACTTAATTAGTGACCAGGGCCTGTAGCTGGTTATGCTAAAGGCATAAACAATGCTCCTAAATACATGAGCTGTCCATGGCCATTGTAATAATTATTTTTGGGACGGCGTGTCCGCCTCACATTTTAGAGCTATCGAATCAGACCCCAAAGATTCACAAAAAGATGTCTTCTACTTACTCTGTTTCTGTCAATCACTACATAAACAGAATAATTATAAATCTACAACTCCACTCTGTGCTTTCCTGGTTACCCACAACATTTATCTGCTTCTCCAAACAGAAACAAGCATAAGCATGAATGGAAGCTATTGTAGAAACTGGACAAGGTAACATCAATCCCTCTAATATCTCACCACATTGAGCTTTTGCTAAAAACCTTATTCACATAGACTTTTTCATAAACAGCCTTTAAACATGTTAAAAGTCTGCTCAAACATACAGTAGGAATCTACTTTGCTTTGCCACCCCTATTGTTGGGGCGACAGTGACGTCAGAGTTTGCCCTTCAAACGTAGGCCTCTGTCTGTGAGCCCCAGGGCAGTTGCGGCTACGGCGTAGCTTGCCACCATCAGTGTGTGCATGAATGGGTGAATGAATGAATTAATGTAGTCTTAAGCGCTTTGGTCAAGTCCTATTGCCATTTAATGTTAGGATTACCAGACGTCCCGTCTCTGGACCAACTGTTCCTGGCAAAAGGTGTTGCATGAAATGTCTCTGATTTAAAATTTTCATAATGCAAAAAAAAAAAAAAAAAAAAATTGAATCTCTTGTCAAGGTAGCTTTAAAAGTGCGTAAACAAAGTGTGTTGCACATGACAGCTGTTAAAGGAGCGGTTTAGGACAAGCAAAGGATAAAAGGGCAATGCAGGGGGTTGTCCCACCTGTTCTTTGACATTCTGAGTTAATTAACAGCAGACTTTTACCAGGACAGAGTCTGGATCCTCTGATGAGTGATGGAGGTGAGGTGAGGACAGAGGAGGCACATTGAACCGGTACCTGCATTAAGCTGGGCTGATTTCAAAACATTTCATCTACATGATAATCAAATCTATATCCTTTATAAATCTAATAAAACATCAGAAAGATCATTTTGGTTGATATTCTACAGAGAAATTAGTTTGCAGCCTGTTGTTAATCTGGATAACCATAACTTCACTTGCAAAGAGGTAAAAAGAGACCTTCCCTATTATTCTTAATTTACAGAACACTTGAAATGTTAATATACTTAAAGTAGCCTATGTCTTTCTTTTTTGAATATTTAGAATACAAGCCGGAGGTTCCATTTTATAGATCATTATATACAAAAAGAATAAAACAATATTTGAATTTTTTTCTATAAGATGGTGAAAGCCTCCAGATCCATAATTATCTCTATTCTTTCTATTTTACTCTTTTTCTTTTTTTCCTCCCTAAAACAAAGAAACACAGGATCAAGTCTGCATAATTACTGTGATGAAATTACACTGGCCAAGACAGCTATAGATAAATACAAACCTACTTACATTTATCTTCTAACATCGAAATTGACAGTTAGGAAGAACACCTATTTATCGCAAACAATTTACATTTGTTGTTTATATAAACATGACATGTATATTTTGTAACCTTCCCTAATCTAATAGTATTTTAAAGGTCAAATAAAGAGCATCGATTGCAGCCAAGGAGTAAAATTTGAGTGTACAGATTTTCATCTTGGAAAAATATTTTTCTCTCTAGTGCAATTTACTGTCTGTGTAATCAGATGACTCAGATCCTGTGTGGCAACAAAAATAAAATCTAATTATCGAGGCGCCTAATCAGAAAGGAGGTTGTTAAAAAAGTGAAGTATAAACACAGCACTAATATAAAGAATATCTAGGACTATTACAAAGAGGAATCAAGTTATTAAAAGTACCCAGGCTTAAAAAAAAATCCCCATAGTTTTTTGTGAGACTCATTAATCAACTTCACTGGGCAAAAGAAGATGTAAGATAGAGTTAAAATGAACACACAATGGTTCAGATTTGCATATCTGGTCCCAGAGTTTATTACTTGATTGATGGGCCCCATAAAATTACTGTGGCCTCCTGCACTACATGCAATATGGATGGAGAGTAATTTATGGATATCATAAAAGGGTGCACACTGTATCCTCATTAGTAATCAAGATCTTCCTCCTCTCTGTGCACGGTTGGCATCAAGGCAGCTTACCTCTGCAGGCGCGGGTCGTCACATTTAGGTAGTACTGATGTGCACAGCTGTCGTATTGGCATTCTCCAAAGAGCAGCACCTTGGTCGGGTCACGGCAGGATGTACAAACCCCAGTAGTGTCACATGTCAGGCACTGTTGGTCACAGGCTGCCAAAAAAAAGGTTGATTTAAAGGTCAGGAAACACATAGAGAAAAAGATCAATATAACACCTGCAGCCAACTAATAAGCTATGGATTTACCTAAAGTCATCCCCTTTCCTTAATTTTACTGTAGTATCTTTCGTCTTCTCTTTTCTTAACATAAAAAGATGTTTAAGTTTGTTTTTTCTTTAATGTGCATTTTTTAAGATTTAATTGAAATAATTTTGCTTAAGATTAATGTAGCTTAACCAAAATGTAAACAATCTTCTGACAGTGCACTTAAGATAATGTTTTGTATTGAAAAACAAAACTTCTTCAGGGGGAAAACACAATTAAAATATTCTATTTCATTTCAGCATTTCCAACAAACATAAAAACAATAAACCTAAGTAAATGTGCAAATGTGTATTATATTGTATAAATTAATTATCAACCTTATGAGTAAAAGAAAACCAACTATAACTGAAACACATTCATTTTGACATTGATTTATGTCTTTTTCTTCCCACAGGTCCACATTAAGCGGATACAGTACCTGTGTGGAAAGCTGAATATTCCTTCACAAGAAAGTCACTCCTTGGATATAAATGCTGTCTGTTTGGAACCAATGTGTTTTAGTTTTCTAAGAATGCAACATTTAACGTTGTGTAAACTAACTGCTTGTTACAGGGGACCCAGGATTCAAAGCAGACAGACAGACTGATTATTTAAGAGGCCTTTATTAAAAAACAAACTCTATAAACAGCGGCTGGGGCATCTATTGCAGGAACCTCTGGTTTAACCGTTCAGTCTGTGCCCAGAGAACGAGACAAGATCCAGCCGGGGGGCTGCCAACAAGCTGTGGAGAGCTGATCAGAGTGTACCAGACACTCCAGCCCCTAGAATAGAGAACCAGCAGGAATCCAGATTCAGGCAGATGAAGGAAGGCAGGAAAATCCAGAGGGCGAAGCCAAAGCAGGTGCCGCGGACGTGCGCAGGATTCAGAACCAGGAGATCAGAAGCCCGAAGAGGTTCTGAAGGTAAATCCAGGTCAGTGACAGGAAACAGCTCTAAGTTCAGCACACAGGCAGAATCCAACGGGAATCCACAGACAGGTCAGGTAAACAGATTAGATCGGAACAGGCAGGCTCAGTGGTTGAGAGACAGAACAGGATCAGGTAATCAGAAACACTAAGGTAACGCTGAAATGTTCTCACCACTGACTCGAGAATAATCTCGACCGATAACTGGAAGCATGCAGGTAAAAACAGATCAGATGGGAACAGATGGGCCCAGTAGTAGAGAGGCAGAATAGGTCATGAGAAACACTAAGGTAACGCTGGACAAACTCTCCACACTGTCTCGAGAATAATCTGGCCCTAATGACTGGAAGCAGGCAGCTTAAAGAGAAGCAGGAGCAGGTGGATCAGATGAGCAGTAATGAGAAACCGGGCAGAATTAGACAAGTGAATGAAATGAGTAATAAAGCCAGTCATTGGTGCCAAGATCGTGACACTGTTTCTCAATGATTTAAGAGCAATATTGATAACACCATTTGGCTTAATATTTTCAATGTAAAATGGATCAATTTATTAGTTTAGAAGTGAACTTCAAGGTAAGAACATGTAAGCTAAGACCTAATTACCCCTTGCTTACACTGGCTCCGGTGCGGTTACCGAGCCGACGGAGACCGCAACTCCCGCACACCCCCTCTCACACCGC